GAAATACAGACAGGGGATAGAGATCCAGTGTCAGGGAAAACAGGGTACAGAATCAGTGGGGAAGACAAGAAGAGACAAAAAAGAGTAAATATGGACATAGCAACAAGGAGAATAGGAGAAGATGATGCAGTTTGAGCTGTAGTAGAGGGTGACTGGGGTGGAGAGGTGGAAGGAGGGAAGAGAAGAAAGAGGAACAGGCTGGTGGGTGTTGGGTTTGTGGGCAAGCAGAAAGTAGCCACCTAGAGCACTTGCTCCTCGCACTGCCCACGAGGACACTCAAGGCAGCAAGTACCTGCCAGACAACAGGCCATTCTTTCATTCAGATCAGCTCAGGGCAGTGGGAAAGGCCAGCTACATTTTCAGTGCCTGTGACAGTAGGATGGGCTGGCTCTAAAGCAGCAGCGTGTGCAGCAGGCCATGAAGCTCTGATACAATTGCAGTTTTTCAGCAGCTTTCAGTGCCCAAGATGGTAGTTGTACTGATTTTGTTTCTGAGCATTTTGTTTAACTATTACTAAAAGTGCCTGTGGTTAAAAAACTCAGTTTGCCTGTGCTAATTTACCTCCTCTTGTATGTGCCTCATGAAGCATTCATTGCATCATTACAGGCTGCTGCTTTGAGCTCTGTTACAGTGCCCAGAGCCCTGGCACTGGGGTGGCACCTGGCTGAGTGGTGAATGTGGCTGGGGCTGCAGACGGCCCTGTCCTTCCCACTGGTGGAAGCTGGAGACTAAATAAAGCAAATGGCAGGAATAGAAATACTGGTTTCATGATATATTGGATTGTGTCCCTGCCTGTGACAACCTCTGTTTGGCAGCCTCCCACCTGCAGAGCACTCAATATTGCACCACTTTAAACATTTTCATGTGTAAAATAAATCCTCAGTTACCGTGCCAAAGTGGTTGAGTAAAGCAGGCTGCAGGATGGTGATTTGTGAGTTGTCAGCAAGGAACCACCATTTTCAGCACCAGGTGCTAAATGGGTCTTTAACCTTCACTGAGGGGCTGGGGCACATGCATTAGTACTTCCCTTGGTTTGCAGCATTGCAGGATGAGCTGCTCCCACTGGGGACTGACCAGTACTGTGGAGCATGATCCCTGACTGATGATGAATGTATTGCTTCCCTAGCATAGGTAATAGCTTCTAAATTCCTGTCATGGGATCTGCAGTAAACTGACCCTATGGAGAAAATGTACAGGTAATGTCCAGCTATACTGAGAAGCATTACCCTTTTCATCAAGGGCACATGTATAGGGAAGTTATAAAAGCTTAATAAACAAATAAGTAGTTTATTGATTATTAACTCAAGTGCAGATTGCTTTTACATGTTTGAAGGACCATCTATGCCACTCTTGGGAGAGACTGGGCTGCAACAACCCCATCTCTAGTGTTTCCTTGCTCTCTTCCATCTTTAGGAACGGTTGGGGGTTCTGGGAGTGGAGAGTCATCTCTAGCTGTGTCTGGTTCAGAGGTCTAGATTTGTTTACTCTAAGGAAGAGGTCATACGAGTCCAGTGCAAACACAGCGGCTTTGTTCTGCGAGATGCTTCTCTTCTGTGCTTTCTTTCATACAGTGCTGTCTCATGGCATTTCACAACAACAGCGGGGCACAGCAGAGCTCAAAAAGTTATCTATCCTTTGATTCCTAGGACCCAAGCTTTGGAGGTCCAGTTCTAATTCTTACTAATTAGAGGTTAGCTGTGTCAAGGCAGCACTTTGGGAACAGAGTTGGCGAGGACAGCCTGAAGGCAAGAGTGTAAGCTGAAGGCATGCTGAGGTGTGAGGTTGCTGCTGGGGCTGTGTCATAATCCAGTTTTAAAGTTATTAGAAATGCATCTCCCCAAATCAAGGTGCAAACAAGACCATCTGCCAAGGTCAGTAGTACTTTCATTTAATATTAAATTGAATAAAGGGTTTTGTTTAATAGTAAATATAAGAGAGAGAAGAAAAGAGAGAAAAGGAAGAGAAAGAAGTAGAAAAGAGGTGGAGGGACAGAGAGAGAGAGACAGAATGAAGAAAATATCACCATTCCATGGATCCCAGTGATGTTCCATTGATCCACTGGTTGTCTTGGTAGTGAAGGTCCCCCAAAAAGCACAGCATCTGATGGATTCATGTATATTCAGGCCAAGTGGGAATGCCCCTGCACATCCCCCAGGGCAGGGGCCAGGCTCTCACAGCAGACTCTGGATCATTTTGCATCATGTGCAGTCCTGTGGTGCAAAGCCTCAGGAATGAGTCTGGGGAGTGCTCTGGGGAGTCTTTGGATTATGACACCCCCTCATCTGCCTCTCACTTGAATGTCCCATGTTTGTGGCCTGTGAGGTTGGGGGTCCCACAGCTGGGCCAGTTTGTGTAAGGGAGGATGGGAGTTCAGTGCCTCTGACCAGAGGTTACACCTCGCACCCAAAACCTCCTTCTCCCCACCCCATTTCATGGGGAGGATGTATAAACTTGGCTTCTGTGGGCTCCCCCACCCCAAACCCAGCCAGAGATGATGACTCAGTGCAGCTGCTGGGTTTGGCTTTCTTGTGGATGCATTCCTTTCCCTCAGCCTTGTTTGTTTCTCCCTAGACCTGAGCTGATTGAACAATAGTGTCCCCTTTATCTTATCTAGGCAGCTTAATTCACAGTCCAAAGTTCCAGTCAGGCATCTTCAAGGAGGCTTCTGTGGTTGTAGCATCTTTATACAGTTTCTATATAGTTTTTGCTGTAGTGGCCAAAACTCCTTTGTACCAATGTTGAAGGCATGAGCTGTTTCAGGCCCTGACAGGCTGTGTGTCTGTCTGCCCGTGGACTGACCAGCTCGGAAGGAGAGGGTAAAGCTGGGCAGCAGGGTGTTAGTCTGCATCACTTAGAGCCTCCTTCTCTGGGACATCCATCATCTCTCTCCGTCAGTTCTTGCAGAACTTGTGTTTATTCTGAAGATGTCTGTTTTATTTCTTTACTTAAGAGCTTGTGCTGTGTTTCTGCTAAGCCTTGTCATGGGACTGACTTTTGCTTTTGATTGCCTGCAATGTACAGTGAAGTTCCACTTGGCACTTGGATTATGTCTGCAGAAATGAATTTAAACTATTCTTGTTTCTACTTATCTTCTTTGCTCTCTTTTGCTTCTCATGCTCTGAGAGCAGGCAGAAAGTATCTTTGCTTATATGCATGGTCTCTCTGGATTAGATGGAAACGTAAACTCATGGAGGCAAGAAACACCTCTTGGAAGCAAGTGCAGGGCCCTTTGGAGTACGGCTGTTTCTGCTCCATTTGGTGCAAATGATCAGTAAAAACTTTGATTAAAAACTTAGGTTATGCAAGCATTTAAAACCAAACTGCATATTTTATCAACCCACTCTCAGCTGGTGAACATCTTGAAGCTACGTTTCTGCTTGCTTCTTTTTTTTTTTTTTTTTAATAATTAGCACCTCACTTTCCTCTGCAGGGTTTTCTTTTCCCCATCTGGTATGTCCTGCAGCGTGGGCAGGTAGAAGCCAAGCCACAGTGGTGCTTCTGGCTCAACAGTTGGCTCTTCCTGGCATCCTTTGGGCTGTGCTTTGTTCTGCTTGAGGGTCTGGAGAAGCTGCAGAAGTGACTGGGGGGTTGAACCCCCACTGTCCCTGTCAGGGAGGAAGTGGTGGCTCTGCTAGAACAGAGGAGTGAGTGCTGCCTGCTCCCAGCTGAGCAGTGGTTGCTTCATGGGCTCCCACTGGGGCCAGTACTGGCCAGCCTGCTCCATCAGGGCCCTCGTGCTGCAGGGCTTTTGCACCTTTTCAGTGGTTACTGCTTTGGCAGACTTTAGATGAGCACTGCTTGCCCATTTTCTTTCATACAGACTAATCTGAAAAACCTTTTAACTGGTGTTATTTTCCATTATAGAATGGTTTATGTTGGAAGGAAAAGATCATCTTGTTTCTCCCTCTTTCTAAACATTTGCATTTCTGTTGATGAGGATTTGCAGTAATGCAGATACCTCTTGATGCATTCCAGGATAGAGTAAACACTCTGTGGGATAAGTTCTTTGCTTATAACCAATCATTTATTCCCCCTAATTTGAATGGAAATCAACATTTTACTTATCTTTTTCAACTGTCATCTTAATTCTGTGTTTGTTACCAGTGTAAACTCTTGTCTCTGGAGCATTCTGGGCAATTTGCAAACCTAGAAGTTATACATATTGTGCTCAGCACAAGTAGGCAGGGACCACTAGGTTGATGAAATATCAGTTCTCCTTACCTAGCCCAGGCAGATTTTGGCATGCCTGGAGTTGCAGGTGATGCTGAGGCAGTCTGAGAGATGCTGCTATCAGTTTGCATCATGGATTGTGCAGTACATGTAAGCAATAGGCTATTAAAGAGGCTACAGGCTCTCTACTGCTGGATGATTTCAGATAATGCATTAAATACAACTGGGAATGACAGGGCTAATTACCACATACTGGCTGTATTTTACCTGAAGAAAACTCTGGTTTCAACTGTGGGAGTTTTTTTGTCTGCATGGTGTATATTACATATGTACACAGCTATCATCACCAAACAGGGACAGACAGCAGTGCACTCTGTGAGTGTAGGAAGGAGGTAGTTATGCCCTGCAGATCCTGCTGTAAAGCTAAGCAGGAATTAGGAGCAGGGCATAGTCTTCTAGATGGGGAGCTGGGATCCAGTGAGATGCTTTGCAAGATGATCTGTGGCAGACACTGGTCCCAGCCCCCAAAGCTGGTATTCTGTGCCCCAAATGGAGCTCCTCTTTGCTGGAGGTTGTTTAAAAATACATGTCAGTGAAACAGAGCTCACAGGCCTCCTTGGCAGAGGGCCCATAGCTAATCACTAGAGATTTCACAATGAAGTTTTTCAGAGTGTCTGTTTGATTAACGGTTCATATTTTGCTGATCTGAGACTTTTTATTTTATTCTTAAATTTAATACATATTACTTATATGACTTAAATATGTTTTAATTCCATCTTAAATCAGTGGAACAATCTTTAAAGTGGAGTTGGCTTTTTTTTTTTGCACAGCAGCAGCAGCATGTTTGCAGAGGCTCGTGCTTGGACATGCAGCTGGTTAGTAGGATTCTTCACAATCCCGTTGTATGCACTTCCCTGGAAGTCTCTTAAAAGTAAGAAACCAAAGAGCTCAGAAACACCATGGAACTGAACCTCAGTGCATTATGCCTCAAGGCTATGAGGGATAACCCTGCTGCTCTCCCAGGAGAGAGGTTTGGTATGTCAGGCTGCAAAGGTATGTGCAGAGAGGCTGGGTGGGAATGGGAATGCATGTTTGGGTCCACTGAGATGACCTTGCAAAGTCCAGCTGGTTTCCCTTGGCCAAAATTTGAGTATGTCAGAGTGAAACCTGATTTTTACAAGTTCACACAGTCTGTATGCTGCTCCCTTCCTTTTAAATTAAACATCCTTTTCTTTCCCCCAGGCAGGAAGGCCCCCAGGCGCGCTCCCATTGTGGCTGCGCTGCCTGGGGACAGGCTGTTTGCTGCGACTCTGGCACCCGTGCTGCAGCAGCAACTGCAGTCGGTGTTGGATAAACAGTGTCCCTCCATCTGTTCAGCTGTGGATTCCTGAGGATGCCTTTCCCCCCTGCTTTGCATACATGCACGAGGCAGCCACTGCTATCCAAGTACAGCCATGCCGAAGGGTTCATGAACAAGGGATTTAGCAGTTGTGCCATGTTTGCCTGCAGGGCTTTGATCGTGAGAAGGGCACCCAGCAGCAACACCACTGCTGCCATATCAAGGGCCTTTGTCCCAAGCACCTGGGGCTGGAGGCTCAGCAGGGAGGAGCTTTGAAATGAACTAGGAGTTTTTCTCCTGAGAAAATGAACTTTTGTCTCAGTGAAATGTGTGTTTGCTATTTTTCGGTGCTCGGTTATTGTAAAATCCCTGAGTAGTTTGTATTGAGGAGAAATCTGTGACAAATGCATGTAAACCTACTGCTTTTGACACTTGTTTCTCTTAATATTTTCAGTCCTGAATGACAAATGGACTGTATTCTTTGTGGTTAGCACAGACTACTTGCAGAAGAAGTCTCATGCATTCATGCCTTCATAGCTCAAAACAATTTCTCAAGCCAGCTTTTCCAGCAGATTTCCTCTTCCTGAGGTTAATGGTTGAAGATCATAATAGCTAGGTGGCAGAAGTCCACAAAACAAGGCAGTATTCTCCATGTAATAATATATCTTAGTACATTTGTTAAGTTTTTGTATGCTATTCCTTCTACCCTAACTGCACTACTTCAGTCCAGACCTAACACTGTCATGCCAGCTAATTCATTTCCATGTCTTTTCTCCCTCTTTGTCCTGCTTTCTTGGATTTTTGCTCTTGTTCAGAGGAGCAGCCCTGCCAGGCTGTGCTTCCACACGGGGCTGCAGTTGCTGCCTGCAGAGCACCACTGTCAGTAGTGGGGTCTGCTCTGTGCTGCAATAGCCTTTAAAGCCCACAAGTCTCTCCCTCAGCTGAAAGAGTGCTCTCCAAGTGGCTGCATTTGTTTGTGTTTTCTCTTTCTCCACCTTCCCAGGGTTGTTTTTATTCCTGTGTGTGACACCAGTGAAGTGCACAGCACGCTGCCTTCCCATCTAGGTAGTCCAGGGTTTGGTTTATTTATAGGTCAGGAGAGCATGAGTGGCATTTCCAGGTTTAGGGAGGTGGAAGAGAGAAACAACAGAAGGGAGCAGCTTGCTAGCAAAGAGGAGATTATTTGTCAGATTATGTCTCTTGCTCTTCCTGGAATCAGTTCATTTGTTTTAGAGAAGCAGCATGAGAAAGGCAGAAGTCCTGAAGAGTGCTGTGTTTGTCAGGAAAGCTCTGTGTTGGGATTACAGCAGCACAGAGGGCCCTTGCCTAAACTGGGGTGACATGATATGGGAGCTTGTGGTGTGCCACTGAACTGATTTTATTTCTCCATTCAGAGGCAGTGTGCCTGCTTTGGCTCTCTTTAGGTTCAGAGATAGGAAGTGTAGGAAAGGAAATATTTCTGGCTTCTGGAAACTTTCTTCTCTTTTTTATATAGCGCATAGTCTGGAAGCAAAAATCTTTGTTGCTCTGCCAGTATGGCTGTTAAGAAGAAAAGATAAAAATATGCCAAAGAATATTTTAAAGGAGCACCAACAGGCAATGATCCTACCAGCAGATAAAAAAAAAAAACTTCAGTTTTTCCTCAGCATCTCTTATGTAGTGCTTCCCCCCCACCCTCTTTTTTTGTCTTCTGAACTATCACTGTGAGATAGAAAAAAAAAAGTATTGAGAAATTTAATATCTGCGCAGAATCACAGCCTGTCCCTTTAAACTACAGAGAAGCCTTAGTGGAATTTCTATTCTGGGAATAGTTAATTCTGTTTGAGGTTGGGCAAGAGAGAAGCGCTCACAGGCTTAGTAGCAATATTTTTACTCCATTTGTTTTTTCTCTTAAGGATTTGCCTGCCTCATTTGATGGAAAGTGCATTTATTGATCAATCCTCCACTAAGGAGAAGATCTTGAAGAAAAAGAGGGTGAGAGAAAGAAGGAAAAACAGCCAAACAAAAAGCCAAAAGACAATATTTGTAGCTGTAGTGCTGTTATGTAATAGCCATTATGTAATGTCTGTTGGTGCCAACTAAAAATATACTGGAAGATAACTTCCAATTCATTGAAGCATTTAACTAGCATCATCCCAGGGTTTCTGGTTCTGGATTCAGCCCCTTCTGCAGCTGTTGCAAAGAGCTTACAAGTCCCCTAGGTAGCACAGCAACCCATTCTGTCTTCTAGCCTTCTTCTTGTGCACTCTTGATTTCTTTCTTATAACTGGAGTTTTAGAAGTGGTAAATCTCTCTTCAGGTCACCTCTCTGCATACCCCACTGACCATGCCATTGGTCCTTAGAGCCTCTCTTCTAATGCTTTGTTCCGCTAAGCTTTAAATGTCTATGGCAGACGCTGGATTCCAGGAGAAGCTGAGCGTAAAGCATAGCAGGGATTAGATTTTGCAGCAGACATTGAAAACTTGACAGCTTCATAGGTAGTGTTTTACAGGAGGTTGTTCTCCTGTAGCTGAGCTGCAGCTAAAAGTACCTTGCCTTTTCCATCCTTAAGCCTCCCCTTGAACTGCCATTATGCCCAAATGCTTAGTCCAGCTACAGTTGCAGAAGTGGGCACCCCAAGACACCCACAGCTGGCTCTGGTGTGATGCAGACCAAGGTTTGCTCTTCCTCTCTGAAGCACAATATCAACGTGGCTGTGCAGAACCTGGAGTGCCATTTCCTGAGGCAGAGTGGGCACCTGAGGCTGAGCAGTGCTGTCGATGGAAGTGCCTTGGCCAGGGCTTAAGGGCAGTGGCAGCCTCTTTGGGGAGGGAAGTAAACATGAGCTGTGATGCCTTACACAGGGTGGGTGTGACAGCTGTGGTCCCCTTAGTACAAGGGAGCATGACAGGCTGCTGAAAGTGACCCAAGGAGGAGCAGCAGGGAGGTGACCCAGACATCAGCACCAAGCAGCATCACTGATAGGGACCCAGCAAGGTTTCTTGATTCGGACAACAGAAGTCTAAATAGTGCTGTCTGAAAAAGCCATGAGCAAAAAACCTCTTTATATCCAGGATTTCAGCCTGGACAGAGCCTTACAATTTTGTAAATAATACAATGTATCACAGAATTGTGTGAGTGCTTTAATTAAAGCCTCGTGATAGTGCTGGGGGAGGGTAGTAGACATGTTATCACCGGAGATGAAGCTGAGCTGTGGTTGAAGCACCTTCACACAGAGGGATTCAGAAAGTGGGGTTTAGACTCCCATCTTGTGCTGTAATTGATGTAAAGCATTGCCATTTCTGTTCTTCATTATTGAGAGTCATGGTTCTGTTCTGTACCTAAGCACTAAGACTGTGCAATGGCATACATCTATATTCAGGCTTGTTACTGCAGTAGATAAATCCTGTTAATGAACAATGGTCAAGGAGACTAATAGCTCCACTGCAGCATAACAGGTGAGGAGAGAACTGTCCACTCCAGAATCACTGTTCCAATCCCCAAATGGGATCAGCAGGGGGTTTTGGTTTTTCAGAAGAACAAAGATTTAGTATGTCTTCAATACTTACTTCAAGACAAGTCTTGAAGTATTTGTTTTGTATGAATTTACACAAGAAGCATCTTGTGATTGCATCCACAAGCATTATGTGCATCAAGCAATGCTTTTTGTTCTTCAAGGTGCAGAAGAAGTCACTAGTACCTATCACAGTTGCTGTTGCTGCTACTGCTTTATTACAGCAGCAGAATGAAATGAGAGTGCATGTAACTCCTAGTTAAACTCGATTTTTCTGCAGGAACAGAAATGTTGACAAACTAATGAAGGGAACCAGTGGTGCTTTGTGTGTGCATTGGCTACATGTCAGCTGCAATGACAAGGGCAGTTATGTTGTGTCAAGTTTTAATAAGAGGGAAATCCTCATAAGTAGAACTAAGATTTTATCCAACAAGTATTTTTGTCTTGCTTTTAACTGAAGCAGCCTACTTTCTGCCACATGAATGTGCTTCAAATCCTAGCTCCTGGCCATAGGCAGGAAACCTTTCTACTGGAAGATGCCTGTTTAGGAAGGGCAGTGGGTTAAAGCAGTGGATCAGGACATAGAAATCCAGTTATCATGTGGGATCAGATGTTTTAACCTGGTTGTTTGTTGATGCTTGTTTCTGTTAGTTGTTGAGTGATGTGGATGCTTACTCAAAACTACAGCAGATTAGGTGAGTGATAATTGCTTAGCACTCTGGGATACAGATTAGAGCTCTACAGACTCAGGCCAGCATGATTTGTTTTCTGTAGGGTAAGATACGGTGCATAGTGCTTATTCCTTTATTTGTATGAAGACAGAGAGAGAGTCTATACAAAAGCTTTTTGCTGAGGTGTGTATGAATAGAAACCACTCTCCATTTCCTTGTGTTTCGATCACAGGTGGCAGACATTTGGAGAAGAAACATGTAAGAGCTGTGGAAAAAAGAGGCAATGAATTTACTGCTGCCTTGCTGGTCGAGCCAAGCACAGTTAGAGCAATACACTCACTTTGGTCCACTTCCCTTGGTGACAACAGCAG